GTTAACGAATAGATTTAGACAATAAATATTATGCTATCATACCTGTATCACCTACAAATGTTGGAGAAATTCAAATATAAGTTTACTCTTCAATCAGTTGCTGAAAAGCAATAGTATTGGTGGCTTCTACTGAAGAAAAAGAAAACAACAACGTTCTTGGAGAGACTGCCCTGGCAACTAGCCCAACCCTGCCCCATCAATGATTATAGACACGAAAGTTTCTTACGTTAATTATTTTAATCATCCTAACATGGCCTCCACCCCCACCCCCTGCTCTTTCCACAGGAAAGTTTTAATGAAATCAATCACTATCTGCCTGATGCTACAAAAATAATTAGCCTTATAAATAAGCAAAAGCCAAGGTTACTTTAAAATGTTGGGGGTGGGGGAGGATGTTGTAAAGCCCTGAACATATAGCATAAAATGTTTCTCTCCATGCAGAAATCTTTGGCTGAGCACAGAAAAGTTGCCAATATGGTTTTTTATTTTAAAAAGCACTTCAAAAAATTACTTCCAAAACTAATGTTTAAAAAAATTACCTTCAAAACAACTTCTTCAAAAAATAGAAACTGCATCACCTTCAATGTTGTTTCAAAAAAAAAAAAAAGACACCAAAAACAGCTTACTGAAGTATTTTCTTCCCATGAACACAACTAAAAGAATCTTGACTGTAAAGGAAAATGAATTTTATTGGGAAATAATAGATTTAAAAAGTGTATGTTTCACCTTCTTGAGTACAGTATGGGATGGGGCATAGAGGCCAGGAAGGGTAAGGGGTCATGAAGAGGAATACGGGATGAGACAGTTTCAGAGCCTCCCTTTGTACTCCTTTCCTACTGTGCACAGTTCACGTGGGTGGGACACATGTACAGGAACAAACAGCATCATGTCCTAACACTGTATTCTTAGGTAAAAAAAACATAGACCGTATCCAGGAGCTCCATCACCATGACTTAATCTCTTATGGCAGACACCAAGTCATGTTACAGCATCTAAGCAGTTGCTTGAATCCAAAGAAGTCATTCACCAGAGGCCAATTATTGTCTTAAAGCATGGTTGCACAGTCTGTACCATGTGAGACTATGAGAAAGTTTCTATGGAAAAGAGAGAATTGGGGAGGGGGTATATTTTGGAAGCAGAGCCCAGATTTTTAGTGGTGCCAAGAAGGGAATGCATATAATTTGTAAAGCACCCACAGGGCTCTAAAACATGATTAGTCAAACACACAGAAACATTTTCAAACCCTTTCTTAATTGTAACAGATGGCTGAGCAATAAATTTCTATTTCAAGCTAAAGGATGTGCTGTAAATATATCTGGCTGAAGCCCAGGCTTGCCAGGATAGTGTTTCATTGTTGGAAGAAGATTGAGTCTGTATTAGGGAACTGTTAGAATTGGCCCCATTAGCTGCCTGGGTGGAACTGTAATTATTGAAATTGAAACCTTTAATATAATACAGTCACAGACCTAAAAGGAACAAGTCCTGTATTATAGTCATCTCATTTTACACAGAAAAAAAAATTAAACAAAATTAAAGCCTAGATAAGTTAAGTGATTTTCTTCTTACCACACAGCTGATTAATTACAAAACTGAAACCCAAACTTAAACACCTGGCTTTCCACTTACCATTATGTCACCAGTAATAACAACACTCAAAGAAAAGAAGCAATAACTCACCCAAAGTCACACAGATAGCTGGCAACAACATTTTCTGTTCACCCAGAACATCTCACTGGAGAGTCTGATTTCTAAATCACACTCTTCAGGACAGGTTGGAAAAGAATTCTCAGCTTTTAGCTTGTAAAAGAATTTCCTGTTGAGGAATGTATGGAATGGAGAAACAGGCATTGTGTCTGGATGAAAAGGACCCACATTCTAATCCCAGCCCTGTCACTAGTTAGCTGTGTTCAGCTTGGCCATATGCAGATCTCATTAAACCTCTGCATATTCATTAACAGTCCAGAAAACTAGACAGTTGCACCAACAGCTTTGATGTGAGTTTCCAGTAGGAAAGTGTAAGCCAGGAACAAGCCAAGCATTCTGCACATTAGCTGGGTCACTTTTAATGTCCACGTCAAATGTTTAGATTCTTTAGGATGTCATTGACTTGAAATAGGGTGAATAGATGAAGTTCTATTCTTTAAAACTACAACAGACACCCCCTTGTGTCTTCAAGTCAGTGGTTAGAAGCTGAAATAGAAAGAAGATGAAAGTGGTACATTCAGAAATTTTTCACCCACCCACAGGTGAATTTCAACTTGAGACACAGGAGGCTTTGAAAACGTGTTGTTTCTGTTTCTGTTTTTGAGACATATTCTCACACTGCAGCCCATGGTCTGGAACTCATTGTGTAGCCTAAGATGACCTCGACCTCATGGTAATCCTCTTGTCTCCACTCACTAGTGCTTGACTTAGAACCACAAGCTCCCTTGTCTGATTTTAGGCTTCAAATTCTGATGCTCCATATTTCAACTAGCGATCATTATGATGGAGTCTTTCAAACACTGACTAGTCCCATGTCCTTCTTGCAGGAAATGCCTCATTCCTTCATTCTCCTCCCACTCACATATCTGAAAGAAATGTGGCTGTCCTCCTCAAATCAGACATAAAACCATGAGCTAAAGGGAGAGGAGATGTTAGGAAGCCTTGTAGGCCGTCAGAGAGATTAGGTGACACTGGCCTTTCCTCTGGACCCTTCAGCTTGTTACTGGTGTACATCAGGAAGACCAAAATCGATCCATGATCCCTGAGGCAAGGAACCTGGAATTATTATTTTATTTTATGGCTAAGCAATTGACCTTCCAACATAGAAATCTGGACTGATCGTGTTCACACAGTTCCAGTAATGCAAGGACATTGCAAGAGGAGGAAGTCCAGAAGGGTCATCAGAAAGATACATAAGCAAGAAGCAGAGCTTAGCAGGTCAAATGTCCCAAAAACAGAGTGTCAGGTATGGCTAGTGATAGGGCTTTGACTTCCATCAGGCTGATGGATCTGGGGAACAGATATGGGGAGTGCCACCCACACTGGTGAAGAGCAAGCACCAAGGGCTTGGGAGGCTACTTCATCAGCTTCTAGAATGTGGGACTTTGTACAGCTAGTTTACCCAGCACTCCCTTCTTAACGTTGTCTGAGAAATAAGTAAATCTTAATCCTATAAGTTTCTGTCACATACCAAAAAAAGGTTGACATTTTCTCAGTTCAAATGTGTAGACATGAGCACACAGATTGTTCTACTACAAAATCCTGTTTGTGTAAATAACACAAAGTTATTGTGTTACATATAGCTCTGGAGGTTGGAAGTTTCAAATAATTTTTCTTTCCAAAATTTATTACATTTTTAGTGTGTATGTGTGCGTGTGTGTGTGTGTGTGTGTGTGTGTGTGTGTGTGTGTGTGTGTGTGTGTGTGTGGTGTTGCACATAGGCAGGTCAGAAGACAACTCATGGGGTCTAAGTCTCTCTTTCCGGCATGTGGGTCCCAGATCCTCAGGATTGGTGGCATTTACCAACTGAGCCATCTCTATGGCCCTGAATTGAATCTTGTTTATTAAAATCGAGATGTCTGAAGCTCTAAGAGAAAAACAGTCTATTTCCCTATTATGGTTTAGGTGTAAAATGTTCACTGACAGACTTGCATGTTTTAGAACTTGGTACCCTGCTGGAGGTGCTGTCTGGCAAGGTCTTGGTCAGAACCCTTAGGAAGTGGAGCCTTGCTGGAAGACATGGATCACGGTGGGCTAGCCTTGAGGTTTCATAGCTCAGTCCTGCTTCCTGTTCTCTGTTTTCTGAAGGCCAATGCAATGTGACCAGGAGTGTCTGGTCCCTGCTGCCTTGTTCTTCACCCCAGTGGTGGACTAAAGTATAACCTTGAATTTTAACAAAGATAAGCCCTTCCTTATGTTGATTCTTCTCAGGTATTTTGTTACAGTAATAAGAAAATTAAACCATATACTTACCTTCTCTAGTTTCGATGGCTAGCCTGCAATCTTTGTTCCTATCTTCAAAGCACAGCTCTATGATGTGCTCTATCTGCCTTTGAGTCTCTTGCCTTCCTTACACCTGATTATTACACTGAATCCACCTGAGTAATTCAAGGTAACCACTCCATCACAGCTTCCTTAATCTCATCATAACTGTGAAATCCCCGTAGATGTGTTCTTAAGGACATGTAGTTAGGAGTCAGGCATTGTTAAATATGAGTAAGGATAATTTACTGAATATGTATTGTGAGCACTCTTCCTGTAGATGAACAAAACTCTTGGAAACAGGACATTTAACCCTTTATGACAGGCAGCAGGAAGACCCTCACCTTATGCCCGGTTGCCTTGTACAGAAAGTGGCCGCAAAGAGGCCCTCTCTTCGTCTTCTCAAACAATCCACAGTAACTTTGAGGAAAGTTTTTCAGCAGCAACCACCACTGCAACTATTTCTCCTGCTGCTGGAAGTCCTACTGGTTTCAGGGGGCCTTGCACTAATATTGACCATTCCAAGTAAACTGTACTGGCATTGGAAGGCTCTTCTCCAGACAATACAAGGGTCTTTGGAAGACTCTACTCTAGAAAAGGCAACTTCAGTCAACTCTAGATAACACTGCTCACCCTGCAGTTACTCTCACTAAGGACTGGAGAGAAAGCACCTCCCAGTAACTCAGAAAAAATACAACAAAAACAACAGCAACAACTGTGCTTAGTGCAATGCGAGGCTTGGGGTTGATGAACTAGAAGCCTCACACTATCACCCTGTGATGAACAGAGAATAATCTGAGCACATGTTTACCAAACCCAATTCTATCTGTACAAGCAGCCTATTTCTCAGTTTTGGTGAATCAGCCTGGTAGATTTCTTTCCTATGCATTATCCCCTGGTTTTGCAAGGTATGACTCCAATAAAGACTTTTCAAGAATTATTTTATCTACTTGTGGTCTTATTATAGGTAGAGTGGGCTGATGCAGCTGCTCAAAGAACAAAAGAACCCCTGGGACTTTTAGCCCCAGACCTACCTGGAAGAAGAGGGAAGGGAGCTGAAGAGTTCCAGGGAGAAGCTGGGGACAGAAACTGCAGAGAGCTGAGAGGACAGATGGTGAGAGACTATAAACAACCAAGGATGAGAGCTCCAGGCTCCAGGTGCTGGGAGAGTTCCTGGGAACTTCCAAGGGCTACAAGCTAAGAGTCCCAACACACAGTCATCGGAAATTATAACACTGGCTGCTGGCATTAAAACTTCACAGCAAAACGTCTCTGCCCTGAGTGCCAAAAGATCTACAAGCCTCTGGCTTTTAAAGCCTGGAGATCCTTAAGCCTCTAGCTCTCACAACCTAGAGCATTAAGCCTCTGGTTCTGTAAGTCCAACCCACATCCATCTGGCCCTGCAGTCCTCGGCACTGCCAACACAAAGGAAGCTGTGCCTTGCCTATTCATGATTTTCATCCAAAAGGAGCCAAATGACCCTCAGCCAGCCGTTTGTGACTCTTTTACAGGGAACATTAATATATTCACAGCTTCCAGCAATTACAACGTGGTGGTATTTGAGAGGTCTCGCCACCAAACATCTAAAATTGTTTATCTGAAGTTTTAAAAACTAATGCACTCATCTCTATTCGCCCTTGGGGTCTCTTTGACATAATATCCTATGTTGGAAATGATACAAGTGCATTGATATCTCTCTCATTCTTTTTCTCACTCAAATTCTAAGATCCCTAAAAAAAAAAAATTCCCTTATTTATTCCATTTTCATCTTTAATTCAGACTCTTCCAATCTAGTCCCTTGATTATTTCAAGGGCATGCAAACTTACCTCTGTAGCTGAAATTTTCTCCAGTCCTGCCTGGCCCACGGTCAGGACAAATCTCTCTCACCCGTAAGTCCAGCAGCCGCTTAGACCCAACCAAGTAAACACACAGAGACTTACATTGCTTACAAACTGAATGGCCGCAGTAGGCTTCTTGTTATCTAGTTCTTATATCTTAAATTAACCCATATCTATTAGTCTATAAGGTGCCATGTGGCTCGTGGCTTATTGGTACCTTACATCTCACTTTTCATGGCGGCAGCGGCTGGCAGCATCTCTCGACTCAGCCTTCCTGTTCCCAGAATTCTCTTCTCTGTTTGTCCTGCCTATACTTCCTGCCTGGCTACTAGCCAATCAGCATTTTATTTATACAGCGCGATATCCACAGCATACCTCCATTTTCTTTCTACTTAATTTCCAATATGCTTCCAGAGTTATGTCTTAACAACAACACATAAAGGAGTTTATTTGAATAAAGGATAATTCATAAATTAGGAAGCAGCAAGCTGAAAGGAGGTTGTGGACTACATTCCAGGAGTGTGAGTGACAAGCTTTTCCTGTTTTGATGAATACAGCAGCAAGGCAAAGGACTTCTCCCATTGGATGAAGCTAAGTACCCAGTTGTGTGGGTGTGAGTCTATAAAAGGGTCGGTAACCAACCAGCTTCTTGGCTGTGCGTGAGAGGCTGAGCCTCAGCCGGGTGTTCCTTTGCTTCGTCTTTCTCTTCTTTTTAAGTCAGTTAAAGAAATGCCTTGAAGTTCACTTTCAGTTTGCTTACTTGTGAGTTCTGGGTACAGAGAAAGCCTTAAGCTAAGGATCTCATTTGTTAAAATCTAACCGTGTGTCAGACCATTGTTTAATGATCACTTACCGTTTAACATGGTAAAAATCCAAGTACCTCAGTTTGAAATCAAAATCTGTAAACCTTCCTACCCCACTCTATTTCCCCTCTAATCCTGTTTCCTATCCCTCAGACCCTACCCACATAGAGTACTCAGTGTCTCCTACAGATGCCCCCAGAACCAAAGAGTGTTGTGACTTTACTCACCATATTTCTGGACCTCCCAGTTTTCTCCTATACCTTGATATTCAAGTTAACGTTTTTGTAAGCCCACCCAAGACACCAACCGTGTCTGTCAATTTGTCTAAGCATCTCTGCTCTGGGTGCTGTGCTCTAAAGGAAAACAGCCATTCTCATGACCGTCAAAAAAAAAAAAACCTCCCGAGTTCTCTTTACTATTTAAATTCCACAACTCTCATTACTACTTGATACTTTTATGGTTGTACATAAATTCCCAAGTAAGGTCTCATTAAAAAGCAGAGACTAGTTCTCTGTTTGTTTTTGAAAAACTGACCCAGCATTTAATATGGTTTAGGTCATTCTAAGTGCTGTATATTTCTGTTGTTCTTGTTCTGAGTAAAACAGGGACTCAGTCTGATTCTTTACAGAATAGCAGATGAGCAACAGTCTGGGGAATCAATTGGAAAGTGCTGATAGGCATTTCAAATTTTACTTGGGATGGATAAAAAAGAAAAAGATTTCTTTTAGCTTTTTCTTTTCCTTACTTTTGTTTGCACTGGTATTTGGAAAAATAAATTAAGGAAGTGGAAGGAAAGATATGAGTATTCTAACTCAGTTTCAGAACTAGACATGTCATACACATAGCAACACCTGGAAGAAGCTGAAATGGTCAGCACATGAAAAAAAATCTCAGGAAACAAAGTACAAATTCAAAAAAATCCTCATAGCAGAATTTCACTGAGGTCCTTGCAAAGCAATCATCCCACTACAGTTGAGGAGATGATGCTCTTCAGAAGAGAGTGGCTGGCCAGGGAGCAGAGGACTTAGTCGTCCAGCAAAGTTGCATTCTTACATAAATCCTTATTTAGTGGTCACACAAGCTTTGGATACCATACCTGTAGCAAAATATCAGAGCACACAATATGAAGAAATTAATTGTGATATCTTATGAACTCCTTCTTTGTGGTTACCAGAAATCATTGTTTATGCCAGAAGCACTAACAGGCTATGATCACATCATGTAGATTACAGATAAGAGTCTTGGGAAAACTACTTATTAAAATGCATGTAACCTCATTGTTACCCAAGGCTTTGTATGTGTGACATCATTCATTTTAAATAAAAGACTTAATGAATGAACAAATAAAAAGGAATAAAGGGTAACCACTTCTTTTTCATCTTTTCTAGAATGTATGTTTTATTTTAGTGCTTTTTTTCTTGAATAGAAAACTACAAACTCACTTCTCTTGAGATCTGTTCAGATAGAATTAATTATTTTAAAATCTTAGTTCAGTGGCTGGCATATGTCCTTGTTGGATCCCTGAAACTATTATTCCTCCTGAAACAAACCACACACACACACACACACACACACACACACACACACACACACACGCACGCACACACACACACACACACACACACACACACACACACACACACACACGTTTCTTTGTCTACAGAGTAGAATTCCAGTTTATTCATTACATAGCATGAAAGACAGTCAGATACGTAGGAAGATTTTACTAAAGCATAAAAACATGATGATCAACTTAGCCTTGCTGTTAACTGAAGGGAAGAACAAATAAAACAGAAAACAGAGTAAAAATAAATAAATAAGTAGGACATTGATATAGTGTATCTTTTCTGTTGTGTAACTGCCTATGAGATGTTAAGTTGAAATATTGTCTAGCATTTTGCCAGTAGGGAAAAAATAACAACAGATGGACCAAGCAGAAGGCAGAGCCAAACCGTTTTGTATTCTTTTCATTGTAATTTTTTTCAGTTTCATTACAGATACGACTGAGATAGACAATCTTACATCAGATAAGATGCATCAGACAGTCTTACAATCATGTAACATAAGTGTTTCTTTTAGGGTTATTTTTATAAATAGGGCATTACCACTAAGGTCTTTTCCGGAAGAGAGAGATGAGGCTAAGAGTGCTTCAGAAGTAGGATTATGTAAGACTAGACAAGACTGGGAGATGGCTACAAGGAGAGTACACACATGATGTCACTGCCCTGCACTTGATATGAACTGATCTTTCTCATGAAGATATCTATTAATTACCATGCCCTAACTTTGATCTTGGTCAATTTGTCATCCAGAGCTAAGTGGTAGAACAGCAAAGGCAACAGATGTTGGGAATGACAAGCCAAATTACTGAAAACACTGCCAATAATTTCCCCTCAAAAGTAAATGGTCTGACTTTCTAATCTCCAGAATTCATTTCTTTCATAAACAGTTAGTTGATGGCTTTGTGTTGTCAAACTAGAATGCCATCTGTTTCCTAGATGCAAATAACCTTACTGCTGCCACACCTGCTAAGTCCATCCTCCCAGTTTATCTCTGGTTCTTTTGTCTGTGGGATCACTTCTTTTAGCTGTAACATAGTCAGACTCACAGTTGAAAGCCTGATACCATTTCCACAGGAAATCTGCATATTCTCTCAGGTATACCTCACACCTAAAGCTTTTACATAGCACATTGCCTGGCATATTTTATGTCATTTTTAATCATAATCATACAGAAGCATATTTATAAAATATCTTCTTAGAAATTATATATTGAGGTGCACTAATTAATTAGTGATAGGAACTAGCTTTGCTTAATAACTTATTTGTATAATGTGTACTAATCTATATGGATTACATAATCCTTGATAGTTAACTATTATTTCTGAAAAAAATAAATCAATATATTTGGAGTTTTTATCTTTTCTTTTTTATTAAATTTTTCAGCTATTTTACATACCAACCACAGTTTCCCCTCCCCCATTCACTCCTTCTCCATTCAGAAAGGGGCAGACTTCCATGGCAGTCAACAAAGCGTGGCATATCACGTTGAGGCAAGACCAAGCTCCTCCTCCTCCTGCATCAAGACTGGGCAAGGCATCACACCATGGGGAATAGGTTCCAAAAACCCAGATCATGTGCCAGGGACAGGTCCTGATCCCAGTGCTAGGAGCCTCACAAACAGACAAAACTACATAACTGTCACCCACATGTAGAGGCCCCCTAGCTCAGTGAGTTGGTGAGTCAGCTCAGGTCAGCTGTCTCTCTGGGTTCCCCTGTCATGACCTTGACCCCATCCTGGCTCATACAATCCTTCCTCCTTCTGTTCAACAGAACTCCTGGAGCTCCACCCAGTGCTTGGCTATGGATCTCTGAATCTGTTTCCATCAGTTATTGGATGAAGGCTCTCTGATGACAATTAGGGTAGTCACAGGGTTTTACTATGCTCCCTAGACTGTCTTCCACCTCAATCGGCTGCTTTAGAGTGACGGGATGACAGACTAGGACACCATGATGGGCTTCACTTTGTTGTTTCCAGCTGAGAGACCTAGAGTAGAACCAAACACAATTGGCAAAACAACAACAAAAAAATGAAACTATTCCTAAAGATATTCTGCTGTACTCATAGATTTGTGCCTT